AGTGTCTGATACTTTAAAGGGTAAGTAGTTGTTGAAGTCGCCCAATTGCAAAATTGGAGCGACAAGGTTAAATCCACATCTTCAGACTCTAATCATACTTATTCTGCAGTCCTCTTACTTCCACACATTTTAAGATATATGGTGTAATGACCTTCTCATTCTCCAGCTTTAATTTTCTTTATCTTTTACTCAAGATTTTAGAGCAGGTAGTTTATGAACTAAAGAACTCCAAAGGTTGCAATGGGCAGCATGATACAACTTTTAGTTTATAATCTAAATTCATTGCAGAAGGGGGGTTAATTAAAGAGAGATTCATTTATTCAGTTCACACATTAATTGTGCATCCACTCTATGGGAGGCAGCTTTCTAGGACCTGGGGATACATTGGTGATTAAACAACTTATTCTCTTGCAGTGTACTTTCTAGTAAAGGCCACAGACGATGAACAAGAAATTTTTTTTTTTTCTAATTGGAGTACAGTTGATTTACAATGTTGTGTTAGTTTCAGGGATACATTAAAGTGAATCAGTTATACGTATACATATATCCTCTCTTTTTTAGATTCTTTTCCCATATAGGCCATTACACAGTATTGAGTAGAGTTCCTTGTGCTATACAATAGATTCTAGGCTATGTATTTTATTAATATTTCTTGTTTATGTAGAAAACATAAATAAGATATATTAATAAAATATATAGTCTAGGTAAATGTTAAGAGGAAAAAAAATTCAGGAAAAGCAATAGAGAGTCAGAGTGGGTAAATGATGTTTGCAATTTTAGATGAGGTGATTCAGAAAAACTCTGTGAGAAGGTGACATTTGAATGAAGAACTGAAGGAAGTTAGCAAGTAAGTCACACAGCTATTTATTGGAAGAGAATTCCAGACCAAGGGAACATCAAGTACAAAGTCTCTGAGGCTGGAATGTGCTGGATGTATTCAAAGGCTAGAGGAGGCCAACTGGGGTAGAGTGAACTGAATGAAGGGGAGAATAGGAAATGTTTCACAAGAGTGCAGATCTTATAGGACATTGTAGACCTTTGTAAAGACTTTGGTTTTTACTTTTATTGAGGTAGGAGACATTGGATGCCTCCATCAATGAATCTTATTATCTGGCTTGTATTTAAAGAGAATCTCTCCATGTTGTTGAACAGAGAGGAAAGGGGGATGGATGAGGGTCAAAGTAGGGAGATCATTTAGGAGGCTGTTTAAAAAAAAAATCAGGTGGGGCTTCCGTGGTGGCGCAGTGGTTGAGAGTCCGCCTGCCGATGCAGGGAACACGGGTTCGTGCCCCGGTCCGGGAGGATCCCACATGCCGCGGAGCAGCTGGACCCGTGAGCCATGGCCGCTGAGCCTGCGTGTCCGGAGCCTGTGCTCCGCAATGGGAGAGGTCACAGCAGTGAGAGGCCCGCATACCGCAAAAAAAAAAAAAAAAAAATCAGGTAGCTCTAACCAATTTAGTGCAATTGAGGTGAGGAGCAGCTGTCAGATAGAAGACAGGAGCTACAAGATTTCTTGATGGATTAAGAGTAATGTGTGAAAAAGAGGAATCAATATGACTCTTAAGTTCTTGGCCAGAACACTTCAAAGAATGAAGTTGCTGTTTACTGAAATGAGGAAAACAGAAGGAAAGGTAGATTTGGGAGTGGGGGGTGGGAGCGGAGGGAGAAACAGGATAAGAAGGGGCTCAGTTTTGAACATGTAATATTTGATATTGATACTTCTTAAAATCCAGTGGGGATTAAATGGATACTAAAACTATACTGATGTAAGAGGGTTCAGCTCTTAGACATTTGGTTTAAGTGGAATAGTGTTATTATAACCATTCAAAAACAAATATTTATTCATCTTTTTTGGGGGGTGGGGGGGGCAGTACGCAGCCCTCTGACTGTTGTGGCCTCTCCCGTTGTGGAGCACAGGCTTCGGACGCGCAGGCTCAGCGGCCATGGCTCACGGGCCCAGCCGCTCCGCGGCATGTGGGATCTTCCCGGACGGGAGCATGAACCCCTGTCCCCTGCATCGGCAGGCAGACTCTCAACCACTGCGCCACCAGGGAAGCCCTATTCATCACTTTTTATGTGTCAAGCCCAATACTAAGTGCTAGGATATAATAATAAGATATAAGACTAATAAGATCTCAAGTCACATAATGGTATATAGTTCATGTCAGGGGTGATTGAGTTATAGAGTACTCAAAACGTGGAACCTTGGAAATAGGAATACTTGCTCCATTATCACATTGTTAAAACTCTACCTAGGAGGGCTTCCCTGGTGGCGCAGTGGTTGAGCGTCCGCCTGCCGATGCAGGGGATGCAGGCTCGTGCCCCAGCCCGGGAGGATCCCACATGTCGTGGAGCGGCTGGGCCAGTGAGCCATGGCCGCTGAGCTTGCACGTCTGGAGCCCGTGCTCTGAAACGGGAGAGGCCACAACAGTGAGAGGCCCGCGTACCGCAAAAAAAAAAAAAAAAACTATACCTAGGAGTTTTATTCAATTGACCATTCTCTTGAAGGGGGGTTGGTTTTTATCATGGCTTGGCCTCCTGAAAGTTCTGTTATGACAGACTACTATAAAGGAGGCTAAACTCATAGGTCTTGTTCACATTTAATGTTCATTGTTCTTTTTCTTTCATCTTACTGATAAAATTCAAGTGGTGAGTTACATTTGATCACAGTATAATACATATAAGGTGGTTCGTGTTTATGTTTTCTGAACTAGACAGTAATACCCGAAAGATGATTGCTAATTAATTGCTAGACTTTTTTGTTCTTTCTTTGAGCGTTATGTACTTTTTGTACTGTTGTTTTGACATTTGGTATTCTTCTCTTAATAACTCTGCATGGGGTTTTTGAAAGACCTACAAAGGCACTGAGTAAAGTCAATACATTTCTAATAATGCAACTACCCAGGAAAAGCTGGAGTTATTTGGTTTCTTTTTTTTTCTTTCTTTTTTAGTGTTTTAGGTCTTTAGGATATATTTGAGAATGTATTATACCTGCCATTATGGAAGACTGCTGTGCTGAACGCTGGTGCTTGATACTCAATTACAGCATCTTTCCTTTGAGTCAAAGAAGAGAGCAAATAGCTCTCTGTTCAGGGAACCGGGTAGCACTAACCACTCTCCACTTTCCAATAGTAAAAGTAATTTAAGCTATCAGAGACCCAACACTACTTTAGCAGTGTCCCCTGGAGAACAAAGCAGTTAAAGCAAAATTTCATGTGGTTTTCTTTCATGATTTGAGCTCCTTCCGAGAAATACATCTAGAGTTATGCAGGAATAGTTTGAAACTGTTTCATTGGCAGTGTCCTAGCAGAGTTCTTTATCAGATAACAACTGTGAAGTTGTATCTAGCAATATGCGAAGTGCTGTGATTCAGGTTACAGCATGGTGGTTCACTTGTAAGGAGAATTTCCACATTCAGAATAATCTTTGTATGAAGTTTATATAAAACATAAAGGTACAAAGTTTGAATAAAAATAAAAATAGAAAACCTGGATATTTATGAATTTTTTAAGGTGAGCTAACAATGTGGGAGACAACTGAATGTAGTAACTTCCATCCTAAAACAAAAATCAATGTGTATGATCTATACAGTTGAAAAAGATGTCAATTAGAAACACATATCTTTGTTTTCAACTAAAAAATTTCCCATGCACACGTTATGCTTTCACTACTTATGCATATATCCATAAAAATTAATGTCATTGATTTGTGTCATTTAAATTTTTACATAAATGATATCATACTGTATAGATACTTTTGCCACTTGCATTTTTTTAAACGTAATATTAGATTTTTGAGAAATATCTATGTTTGTGACTATAAATCTAGAACACTGATTTTCTACTCCTTTTTTGAATATCATTCCATAAATATCAACCATTATTTATGTATTCCCCTACTGTTGGAAGTTAGGTCTTTAAGAATTTTCAAGAAACCTAGGAAGAAAAGAGGAATTGACAGTCATAGACAGTTTCTCGATTCTGCTCCAACATGTTGGCATACCGATGTGTTAGGCTACCATACATTCTAAGCTTCACAAAAGTGGTTTCGACGGAGGCAAACTATCATAGAGTGGATATGGAGTTTTGAATCTTAGAACAAAGACAGAAATGAGAGAGTGGACAAACCAAGGAACATGGCAGGTATGGAACTCACAGGACTGTAACAGAGACACGTAATGTAGTTTCAATGTGGAAGTTTTCATGAACGTATTTCTTTTTCATGGCTCTACTATCTCTTTTGGGCTGCTATCGGGTATAGTAATTCTGAATACTTATTTTCCATCTGTGTATAACAGGTTCTATTCATGCAAAACCTTTCAGTGATCAAACTTCTTGATCTCCTTAAGCCATTCAATATGAATATAAATCCAGTGACTATCCTCATTCTTTTAGATTTTCCACTAAATAAATGGTACACATATGTGGCTGTCTGTCAGAATTAACTGGGGATCTTTATAAAATTACAACTTTTATGAACTCAACCTTCAAAATTCTGATAAAGGATTTATAGGACAGAGGAATTGTATTTTTTTAATAAAAATTCTTCAGAGATTCAAATAAATTTCAGTTGTGATACCACTTTCCTAAGTGTATAACTTAATTTTTATATAGAGTATTCCCTAGCAAGAGTGGTAAAAATATTAACCTAAAAATGTGATGTGGGGTAGAAAAATGAAAAGCTTTACCTTGAAATCTTTGGCCAGAATTAAGTTGATATGCTTCAACTGAAAATGTACATAGTTGAAAATGTACAACTGAAAATGTACATAGCTAAGAAAGGTGCAAACACTATTGACAAACTGATTTACACCTCACAGAAAAGATAAAATGCTTTACCTGTGGATTAGAAAACCCAAATAATTAAGTTATCTTATTCATTGCATGTGTGGAGGATATTTAGTACATTATTAAAATCATGCTTCATAGAACCAGGCACTTATAAACTTTGTAATTGGTTATGCATAATTGCAACTTATGCCTTTTCTATTGTGTTTCCAGCACAGTGATGCGGTCCATGACCTTCTTCTGGATGTGATCACATGGGTTGGAATTTTGCTGTCGCTTGTTTGTCTCCTGATTTGCATCTTCACATTTTGCTTTTTCCGTGGGCTCCAGAGTGACCGTAACACCATCCATAAGAACCTCTGCATCAGCCTTTTTGTAGCAGAACTGCTCTTCTTGATTGGGATCAACCGAACAGATCAACCAGTAAGCAATTTATTTTGGTATTAGAGAAGAATTTCTCCACTTCCAGCTTTCCAATACACAAAATATTCTTGTTTGAAAGTATCCTCTCTTCCACTTGTCTAAGATAGTTACTGATATTGAGATCTTATTCGGTATTCCCTTTTTCATATCCATTGCCCTAAAGAAGCAGTGAATATATGGATGTATGAATGTACATTTCTTCAGAAATTCTGTTCAAAAACTTGCCTTTCTAAACAACTGTGTTTCTTCATTAGTATTTTTCTTTAATTTTTTTAATCACAAAGCTGAATATTGAGAAAACTTAAATCATTTGGGGAATGGAGGACTATCTTTTCTAACATGTAATTGTTATTCTTTGAAATTTATAATATATATATTTTTAAAAAAAACACTGGAAATTATATTGAAAACTGCATGTCTAACATTAGTTGGGTTTTTTTTAACCTTTTTTTTAACATCTTTATTGGAGTATAATTACTTTACAATGGTGTGTTAGTTTCTGCTTTATAACAAAGTAAATCAGCTATACATATACATATATCCCCATATCTCCTCCTTCTTGCATCTCCCTCCCACCCTCCCTATCCCACCCCTCTAGGTGGTCACAAAGCACTGAGCTGATCTGCTTGTGATATGCGGCTGCTTCCCACTAGCTATCTATTTTACATTTGGTAGTATATATAAGTCCATGCCACTTTCTCACTTTGTCCCAGATTATCCTTCCCCCTCCCTGTGTCCTCAAGTCCATTCTCTACGTCTGCATCTTTATTCCTGTCCTACCCCTAGGTTATTCAGAAGCTTTTTTTTTTTTTTTAGATTCCATATACATGTGTTACCATATGGTCTTTGTTTTTCTTTCTGACTTACTTCACTCTGTATGACAGACTCTAGGTCCATCCACCTCATTACAAATAACTCAATTTCATTTCTTTTTATGGCTGAGTAGTATTCCATTGTATGTATGTGCCACATCTTCCTTATCCATTCATCTGTCAAGGGACACTTAGATTGTTTCCATGTCCTGTCTATTGTAAATAGAGCTGCAATGAGCATGACACTTTTTGAATTATGGTTTCCTCAGGGTATATGCCAGTAGTAGGATTTCTGGGTCACATGGTAGTTCTATTTTTAGTTTTTTTAAGGAACTTCCATACTGTTCTCCATAGTGGCTGTATCAATTTATATTCCCACCATTAGTGCAAGAGGGTTCCCTTTCCTCCACACCCTCTCCAGCACTTATTATTTCCAGATGTTTTGGTGATGGCCATTCTGACTGCTGTGAGGTGATACCTAATTGTAGTTTTGATTTGCATTTCTCTAATGATTAGTGATGGTGAGCATCCTTTCATGTGTTTGTTGGCAATCTGTATATCTTCTTTGCAGATACGTCTATTTAGGTCTTTTGCCCATTTTTGGATTGGGTTGTTTGTTTTGTTTTTTTCTTTTTTTTGTGGTACGCAGGCCTCTCACTGATGTGGCCTCTCCCGTTGTGGAGCACAGGCTCCGGGCGTGCAGGCTCAGTGGCCATGGCTCACGGGCCCAGCCGCTCTGCGGCATGTGGGATCTTTCTGGACCGGGGCACGAACCCGTGTCCCCTGCATCGGCAGGCGGACTCCCAACCACTGCACCACCAGGGAAGCCCTGTTTGTTTTTTGATATTGAGATGCATGAGCTGCTTGTATATTTGGAGATTAATCCTTTGTCAGTTGCTTCGTTTGCAAATATTTTCTCCCATTCTAAAGGTTGTCTTTTCGTCTTGCTTATGGTTTCCTTTGCTGTGCAAAAGCTTTTAAGTTTCATTAGGTCCCATTTGTTTATTTTTGTTTTTTATTTCCATTTCTCTAGGAGGTTGGTCAAAAAGGATCTTGCTGTGATTTATGTCATAGAGTGATTTGCCTATGTTTTCCTCTAAGAGTTTTATAGTGTCTGACCTTACGTTCAGGTCTTTAATCCATTTTGAGTTTATTTTTGTGTATGGTGTTACAGAATGTTCTAATTTCATTCTTTTACATGTAGCAGTCCAGTTTTCCCAGCACCACTTATTGAAGAAGCTGTCTTTTCTCCATTGTATATTCTTGCCTCCTTTATCAAAAATAAGCTGACCATATGTGCATGGGTTTATCCCTGGGATTTCTGTCCTGTTCTATTGATCTATATGTCTATTTTTGTGCCCATACTGTACAGTCTTGATTACTGTAGCTTCATAGTATAGTCTGAAGTCCAGGAGCCTGATTCCTCCAGCTCTGTTTTTCTTTCTCAAGATTGCTTTGGCTATTCGGGGTCTTTTGTGTTTCCATACAAATTGTGAAATTTTTGTTATAGTTCTGTGAAAAGTGCCATTGGTAGTTTGATAGGGATTCCATTGAATCTGTAGATTGCTTTGGATAGTATAGTCATTTTCACAATGTTGATTCTTCCAATCCAAGAACATGGTATATTTCTCCATCTCTTTGTATCATCTTCAATTTCTTTCATCAGTGTCTCATAGTTTTCTGCATAGAGGTCTTTTGTCTCCTTAGGTAGGTTTATTCCTAGGTATTTTATTCTTTTTATTGCAATGGTAAATTAGAGTGTTTCCTTAATTTCTCATTCAGATTTTTCATTATTAGTATATAGGAGTGCACGAGATTTCTGTGCATTAATTTTGTAACCTACTACCTTACCAAATTCATTGATTAGCTCTAGTAGTTTTCTGGTAGCATCTTTAGGATTCTCTATGAATAGGATTTTGTCATCTGCAAACAGTGACAGCTTTACTTCTTCTTTTCTGATTTGGATTCCTTTTATTTCTTTTTCATCTCTGATTGCTGCGGCTAAAACTTCCAAAACTATGTTGAATAATAGTGGTGAGAGTGGACAATCTTGTCTTGTTCCTGATCTTAGTGGAAATGGTTTCAATTTTTCACCATTGAAAACAATGTTTGCTGTGGGTTTGTCATATATGGCCTTAATTTGTTGAGGTAGGTTCCCTCTATGCCTACTTCCTGGAGAGTTTTTATCATAAATGGGTTTTGAATTTTGTCATAAGCTTTTTCTCCATCTATTGAGATGATCATATGGTTTTTCCCTTCAATTTGTTAATATGGTTTATCACACTGATTGATTTGCTAATATTGAAGAATCCTTGTGTTCCTGGTATAAACCCCACTTGATCATGGTGTAGAACACTTTAATATACTGCTGGATTCTGTTTGCTAGTATTTTGTTGAGGATTTTTGCATCCATGTTCATCAGTGATATTGGCCTGTAATTTTCTTTGTTCGTGACATCTTTGTTTGGTTTTGGTATCAGGGTGACGATGGCCTCATAGAATGTGTTTGAGTGTTCCTGCCTCTGCTATATTTTGGAAGAGTTTGAGAATGATAGGTGTTAGCTCTTCTCTAAATGTTTGATAGAATTTGCCTGTGAAGCCATCTGGTCCTGGGCTTTTGTTTGTTGGAAGATTTTTAATCACAGTCTCAATTTTCAGTGCTTGTGATTGGTCTGTTTATACTATCTCTCTCTTCCTGGTTCAGTCTCAGAAGGTTGTGCTTTTCTCAGAATTTGTCCATTTCTTCCAGGTTTTCCATTTTATTGGCATAGAGTTGCTTGTAGTAATCTCTCATGATCTTTTGTATTTCTGCAGTGTCAGTTGCTACTTCTCCTTTTTCATTTCTAATCCTATTGATTTGAGTCTTGTCCCTTTTTTTCTTGATGAGTCTGGTTAATGGTTTATCAATTTTGTTTATCTTCTCAAAGAACCAGCTTTTAGTTTTATTGATCTTTGCTACTGTTCCCTTCATTTCTTATTCATTTATTTCTGATCTGATTTTATGATTTCTTTCCTACTGCTAACTTTGGGGTCTTTTTGTTCTTTCTCTAATTGCTTTAGGTGTAAGTTTAGTTTGTATATTTGAGATGTTTCCTGGTTCTTGAGGTAGGATTGTATTGCTATAAACTTCCTTCTTAGAACTGCTTTTGCTGCATCCCATAGGTTCTGGGTCATTGTGTTTTCATTGTCATTGTTTCTAGGTATTTTTTGATTTCCTCTTTGATTTCTTCAGTGATCTCTTGGTTATTAAGTAGTGTATTGTTTAGCCTCCGTGTGTTTGTATTTTTTATAGATATTTTTCCTGTAATTGATATATAGTCTCATAGCTTTGTGGTCAGAAAAGATACTTGATATGATTTCAATTTTCTTAAATTTACCAAGGCTTTTTTGTGATCCAAGATATGATCTATCCTGGAGAATGTCCCATGAACATTTGAGAAGAAAGTGTGTTCTGTTGTTTTTGTGTGAAATGTCCTATAAATATCAATTAAGTCCATCTTGTTTAATATATCATTTAGAGCTTGTGTTTCCTTATTTATTTTCATTTTGGATGATCTGTCCATAGGTAAAAGTGGGGTGTTAAAGTCCCGTACTATGATTGTGTTACTGTCGATTTCCCCTTTTATGGCTGTTAGCATTTGCCTTATTTATTGAGGTGCTCCTATGTTGGGTGCAAAGATATTTATAATTGTTATATCTTCTTCTTGGATTGATCCTTTGATCATTATGTAGTATCCTTCTTTGTCTCTTGTAATAGTCTTTGTTTTAAAGTCTATTTTTTCTGATATGAGAATTGCTATTCCAGCTTTCTTTTGATTTCCGTTTGCATGGAATATCTTTTTCCATCCCTCACTTTCAGTCGCTAAGTGTCCCTAGGTCTAAAGTGGGTGTCTTGTAGACAGCATATATATCGGTCTTGCTTTTGTATCCGTTCAGCCAGTCTATGTCTTTTGGTTGGAGCATTTAATCCATTTACATTTAAGTTAATTATCGATATGTATGTCCTATTACCATTTTCTTAATTATTTTGTGTTTATTATTGTAGGTCTTTTCCTTCTCTTGCATTTCCTGCCTAGAGAAGTTCCTTTAGCATTTGTTGGTGGTTTAGTGGTGCTGAATTCTCTTAGCTTTTGCTTGTCTGTAAATGTTTTAATTTCTCCATTGAATCTGAATGAGATCCTTGCTGGGTAGAGTAATCTTGGTTGTAGGTTTTTCCCTTTTATCACTTTAAATATATCCTGCCACTCCCTTCTGGATTGCAGAGTTTCAGCTGTTAACCTTATGGGAATTCCCTTGTATGTTATTTGTTGTTTTTCCCTTGCTGCTTTTAATATTTTTTCTTTGTATTTATTTTTTGATAGTTTGATTAATATGGGTCTTGGCTTGTTTCTCTTTAGGTTTAATCATGTATGGGACTCTCTGCACTTCCTGGCATTGACTGACTATTTCATTCCCCATATTAAGGAAGTTTTCAACTATAATCTCTTCAAATATTTTCTCAGTCCCTTTCTTTTTCTCTTCTTCTTCTGGGACCCCTAAAATTTGAATGTTGGTGCATTTAATGTTGTCCCAGAGTTGTCTAAGACTGTCCTAATTCTGTTCATTCTTTTCTCTTTATTCTGCTCTGCAGTAGTTATTTCCACTATTTTATCTTCCAGGGTGCTTATCAGTTCTTCTGCCTCAGTTATTCTGCTATTGATTCCTTCTAGAGAATTTTTAATTTCATTTATTGTGTTGTTGATCATTGTTTGTTTGCCCTTTAGTTCTTTCAGGTCCTTGTTAAACGTTTCTTGTATTTTCTCCATTCTTTTTCCAAGATTTCGGATCATTTTTACTAGCATTACTCTGAATTCTTTTTCAGGTAGACTGCCTATTTCCTCTTCATTTGTTTGGTCTGGTGAGTTTTTACCTTGCCTCTTTATCTGCTGCATATTTCTCTGTCTTCTCATTTTGCTTAATTAATGTGTTTGGGGTCTCCTTTTTGCAGACTGCAGGTTCATAGTTCCTGTTGTTTTTGGTGTCTGCCCCCAGTGGTCTGGGTTAGTTCAATGGGTTGTGTAGACTTCCTGTTGGAGGAGACTAGTGCCTGTGTTCTAGTGGATGAGGCTGGATCTTGTCTTTCTGATGGGCAGAACCTCATCTGGTGGTGTGTTTTGGGGTGTCTGTGACCTTATTATGATTTTCGGCAGCCTCTCTGCTAATGTGTGGGGTTGTGTTGCTAGTTGTTTGGCATAGAGTGTCCAGCACTGTAGCTTGCTGGTTGTTGAGTGGATCTGGGTCTTAGCATTGAGATAGAGATCTCTGGGAGATTTTTGCCTTTTGATATTACATGGAGCCGGGAAGTCTCTGGTGGACCAATGTGCTGAAGTCAGCTCTCCCACCTCAGAGGCACAGGTCTGACACCCGACCAGAGCACCAAGACCCTGTCAGCCACATGACTCAAAAGAAAAGGGAGGAAAATAAATAAATAAAATAAAATAAAATAACGTTATTAAAATAAAAATAATTATTAAAAATAAAAAATTAAAAGGTAATAAAAAAAAGAAAGAAGGAAGAGAGCAACCAAACCAAAAAACAAATCCACCCGTGATAACAAGCACTAAAAACTATACTTAAAAAAAAGAAAAAGAAAAACAAACAATAAACAAAAAAATGCACAGACGGAACCCTAGGACAAATGGTAAAAGCAAAGCTGTACAGACAATATCACACAAAAAAGCATACACATACACGCTCACAAAAAGAGAAAAAGGAAAAAAAATCTATATATTAAAAAAAGGAAGAAAGCAACCAAATCAATAAACAAATCTACCAATGATAATAAACTCTAAATACTAAACTAAGATAAACATAAAACCAGAAACAAATTAGATGCAGAAAGCAAACCCCAAGTCTACAGTTGCTCCCAAAGTCCACTGCCTCAGTTTTGTGATGATTCATTGTCTATTCACGTATTCCACAGATGCAGGGTACATCAAGTTGATTGTGAAGATTTAATCTGCTTCTCCTGAGGCTGCTGGGAGAGATTTCCTTTTCTCTTCTTTGTTCGCACAGCTCCTGGGGTTCAGCTTTGGATTTGGCCCCGCCTCTGCATAGAAGTTGCCTGAGGGCATCTGTTCTTAGCACCCACAGGACGGGGTTAAAGGAGCAGCTGATTAGGGGGCTCTGGCTCACTCAGGCTGGGCAGAGCAGAGGTACAGAATGTGGGGCGAGCCTGAGGTGACAGAGCCTGGAATGATGTTGCAACAGCCTGAGGTGTGCTGTGTGTTCTCCTGGGGAAGTTTTCCCTGTTTCATGGGACTCTGGCAGTGGCTCCCGGGAGGGGAGGTGTAGATAGTGACCTGTTCTTGCACATAGGCTTCTTGATGGCTGCAGGAGCAGCCTTAGTGTTGCATGCCCGTCTCTGGGATCCATGCTGGTAGCTGCAGCTCACGACAGTCTCTGGAGCTCGTTTAGGTGGTGCTCTGAATCCCCTCTCCTTGAGCACCCTGAAACAATGGTCTCTTGCCTCTTAGGCAGTTCCAAACTTTTTCCCGGACTCCCTCCAGCCTAGGTGTGGTGCACTAGCCCCCTTCAGGCCCTGTTCATGCAGCCAACCCCAGTCTTCTCCCTGGGATCTGACCTGCAAAGCCCGAGGCTCAGCTCCCAGCCCCCACCCACTGCAGCGGGTGAGCAGACAAGCCTCTCAGGCTGGTGAGTGCTGGTTGGCAGCAATCCTCTGTGCAGGAATCTCTCCGCTTTGCCCTCCATACCCCTGTTGCTGTGCGCTCCTCCACGGCTCCGAAGCTTCCCCCCTCCGCCACCCGCAGTCTCCGCCCGCGAAGGGGCTTCCTAGTGTGTGGAAACTTTTCCTCCTTCACAGCTCCCTCCCAGAGGTGCAGGTCCCGTCCCTATTCTTTTGTCTCTGTTTTTTCTTTTTTCTTTTACCCTACCCAGGTATGTGGGAAGTTTCTTGCCTTGTGGGAAGTCTGAGGTCTTCTGCCAGCATTCAGTAGGCATTCTGTAGGAGTTGTTCCACATGTAGATCTATTTCTGCTGTATTTGTGGGAAGGAAGGTGATCTCCACGTCTTACTCCTCCGCCATCTTGAAAGTCTCCTAACATGAGTTTTTCTAATTGACCTATTTTGGAAAATAGTTCAAACTCAATGTCATTTTTATAATTTATATACTCTTCCCAAATTTTGTTTTACACTTCATATTTTCTTAAATTCTGTTTACATCTTTAAGTGCTAACTTCGTACTTTACTACTAACCATGTTTAGCCATATCAAGAAAGGAAGGGAAGGAGGGAGAGAGATGGGGAGAGAGGCAGGGAGAGAGTGAGGGAGGAAAGGAAGGAGGGAAGGAAAGAAATAGGAAAAAATGAATAGCACTAGCCAACTGTTCTTGATAAACCCAAACAGAAAATATGATCAACAGACAATATCTAATATAGTAAACAGACTTTATGCACATTTGTAATTTTTGTGAGGCCCTTTCTACTAACTTAAGATTTATGCACATAACACAAGTTGGTTCTCATGAGTAAAACTGCAAATGAAAATTTTCATTTTTTAGAAGACTTGTAGGCATAATAAATAATTCATTCATTTAATGCTGTTCTCTGGTATGTGTCCATATGTATACAGTATGTTACAATGAGAATGCAGTTGGATTCATGTTTGTGATTACACATTCATGATTAATGGCTGTGAAGGGTACAATTATAGTGATTATACTTTTAACTGGTTATCATATACAAATGTGACAGTTTTTCCCATAAATGCATACAGATGAATAAGCAATCAAAGTGCACATTCTTTCTCCAAAAACGTAAAGCCTTCTGATAACAAAAATTAATAGTTGAAGTTCTAACTCTACAAAGCAAGAAATGGAAAACGATGTTATTTCCCAAGAAGAAATCATTTCATTCTCTTTTTAACCTGCAATTCAAATGCTCTGTGATTTCTTTTCATTTAGAAACCTTATTCTTATTTTTGCTTCTTGATGTTACATATGGTATGATAAACTTCTCCAAGTGTTGCATACTGCACAAAACTTCTGACATGTAGCATAAAGGACAATGATTGATATCAAAAATTTGGGTTGAGTGCAGCTCAGCCCAACTTGTCTTTACTCTTATTGCTGTATATGTGTTCTCTTCCTGCCTGTTATGTGGCAGTCAGGCTCTACTTTCTCTTTCTAGCCCCTTTGACACTTGATTGCCTCATCTCCCCTTCATCGTCATCTCTCTAATCCAAGGAAATAGACCTGCCCTTTGTCTCGTTTCTCAAGGATCATACTCGCCATTGAATCCATACTAATGAGTTAATTTCTATAAATTTGTTGCCTTTTCTAGTAGGAACTGTAGAGTTTAGTTAAGACTTCTTATAAAAAATGAACACCTCCCCTCCAAAGGAGTGAGAATTTCAGGAACTGACATAAGATAATTAATATATGGTCAGCTGAAACTTATAGTACCTTAGAAAATATGCCAAAGTAAGGGCTAGCTGCCTTTTGTGACCAAGCTTGTATAACACAACATTTAGTAAAATAACAAAAAAATGAGAGAATGAAAGCACTTCTGGAACACTTTATTTTAACCAGATCTACATTTACAGCTATGCAGTACGAACTTCCCAATGTCATCTTAAATCCTTTCTGAAATAAGGCAAGGAAGAAATAAACAATAAATAATAATGAATTAATAATCTCATTATAAAACACTTTAATTATTATATTTTTTTATTTTAAGAGCTTTTATTCTCCTTGATTTTAGTGTTTCTCTTTCACTTACATTGAAGAACTTAATATGTTAATAAACACAGGATTATGACCAAGAAAAAAATTCATGAGATCTATTTTAAAACCTTTAGACTAATCTCAGTAATAATTATCAATAGGATCTTATTAGAACTTTTCCCTATATGTTATACTTTTTTCTTATTATAATGCTCTGCTGTCATCCATAGCCATTATTAATAAAATGTTAAATAGAGTTTTCACAGATAAGTTATATTTAATTAGGTTTTAATGTCTGAATTTTAAGAATCTTGTCTCAATTATTTTTTTGCAGACCTATCTTATTATTGCAGTCTTGATAAATATTTATTTTAATTTTATGGCAGTTGGTATTTCATTTGGTAGTTATTTGACTGACTCATTTGTTCCTTTCCCTAGATTGCCTGTGCCGTTTTTGCTGCTCTCTTACATTTCTTCTTCTTGGCTGCCTTCACGTGGATGTTCCTGGAGGGAGTGCAGCTCTATATTATGCTGGTGGAGGTTTTTGAGAGTGAACATTCACGAAGGAAATACTTTTACCTGGTCGGCTATGGGATGCCTGCGCTCATTGTGGCTGTGTCAGCTGCAGTAGACTATAGGAGTTATGGAACAGATAAAGTGTGAGTTTACGTTTTCTTTCCTTTTTTTCCTCTTTTAAAATCTAGTTGAAATTGAAACTTTGCATTTTCTCAGAAGCTAAGGTCTTTATATCACTTCACAGCAATAAACAGCAGAACTGTAGAAGCAAATGGAGATAATTCAATTCATGGCTTGTACTTTTGTTATGATGTAAAGAGAGAAAAAATATTCCTGAGATTGAACATCTACATCACAACCTTGAGTAATTATAAAAGGATGATACTTTTAATATCTTTCAGAGCATTGAGACATTTGTCAAATGAAGAGCTAGCTGTATTAAAGATGTGTATTCAGAGGACAGTGTAGTCCATGACTTTAATGGCTTCTCTTCTTCCTGACATGTCAATTCTAGTCACTAGAAGTTAACTTATATCATTAACAGAAAGATAGAGCATATGAGCAGGGGCAGCTTGTGTTTTCCTTTTTTCCCCTAGGTGGCTATTGGGGTACAGTGATGAACTTTATTTTCAACATACCTTCAAATTGGTGAAACATACCCATAGAGATGATCAGCATACTTATGGAAAGAAATTCAGTGAAAAATATTTCAGTAATCCACATCAATATAATAGTTAGGATCCTGAGAATGAATGAGTTTCAACAGAAAAAGTTTAGAAAGAAGACCAAAATAGATCTCTGATGAATACTCACATTTAGAACATAGATTGAGGAGGGAGAATAAAAATAAAGAAAAGAGATAACCAGAGCCTTAAAAGAGAACCATGGGGAAAGTGAGAAGAAAGTTTCAAGGTGGTATTCTCTGTCCATTTATCCTTTGCAACAACTATTTTGGCAAAGTGCTGGAAGCAGAAGCCAAATTGGAAAGTGTGAAGAGATAAGTCAGTGGCAACGAAGTAGAGTCTTCAAGTGTTATCTACAGCCTGAAAAAGTTTGATTGAGAAATAGTGAAAATATTAATTCATGGTAACAGTAATGAAGAAGGATTTTTAAAAATGAAGTCCCAAAATATCTAGGATGGGAAGAATCAAGTTGGTAAGAGGAGATTAGTAGAGAGAAAGTATCTTATGCCTCATTTGTATTAAATATATATATAGGCTGAATGAAAAGAAAAGGTCCTAGGGGGATAGAAAGACATAAGATTAGACATAAGATGAGAAAAATGTTGATTTAGTACTGAAAGTGGCCTTAGAATTCACCTAGTCCAAGGTATTATTATTATTATTATTATTTTATTTATTTATTTTTTTTTGCGGTACCCGGGCCTCTCACTGTTGTGGCCTCTCCCATTGCGGAGCACAGGCTCCGGACGCGCAGGCTCAGCGGCCATGGCTCACAGGCCCAGACGCTCCGCGACATGTGGGATCTTCCCGGACCGGAGGACGAACCCGTGTCCCCTGCATCGGCAGGCGGACTCTCAACCACTGCACCACCAGGGAAGCCCCAAGGCATTATTTTTATAGATGAAAAAAAATCAAGAACCAGATAAATTAATTGCCTTGTCCATGGTGATGGAGGTAGATAGTGGCAGACATGTGATGAAATAAGTCAGGCTTATTTCCACTAAAACTAGGATGTTTTTGAAATAGTCAGATGACCCCTGTCTTCTGAGGTGTGAAGGAAATAACAGAAAAGATAAATTTGGAAGTGGAAGAATTTTTCCATCAAATAGGAGATGCTGATTTTTGAGTGAATAGGTGAGGTCACACTGAGAGGACAGATTTGAAAAGCTCTGAAATGAGCACTATGGAAAATGTGTTAAGGAGCCAATTAGACATTAATAAAACGATTTCCAAGCAGTAGTGTAGGCTCAGATGAGGTTAGACAACATCAATTGTACAGAAGTTAGTAAGCCAAATTTCTTGACTTTTCACCAGCAGTCAGCAGCCTGAATATGCTGGCAATAAAGCAGCTCGTTTCCCAGAAGAGAAGATTCAGAAGGAGGGAACCAAAAGAGGACTCCAGAGTTATAGGGAGCATAGTTAAAATAGAATATACGTTGGAGTAGAAGCACCAACAATACGATTAAAAGAAGACCATCTCGGGCTTCCCTGGTGGCGCAGTGGTTAAGAGTCTGCCTGCTGATGCAGGGGACACGGGTTCGTGCTCCGGTCCAGGAAGATCCCACATGCCGCGGAGCAGCTAGGCCCGTGAGCCATGGCCGCTGAGCCTGCGCGTCCGGAGCCTGTGCTCCGCAATGGGAGAGGCCACAACAGTGAGAGGCCCGCGTACCGCAAACAAACAAACAAAAAAGAAGACCATCTCGCTTCTGTTGAATTTTTTTCTTGAGTACAGTGACAAGCTACATAAAACAATTTGTCTAAATGTAACTAATAGTAATTATTTTTTAATCTAACATTTGTGAATTGTGGTCAAATCTGAGGTCATTTGGTGTATCCCAGTGGCAATCATGGACCAGATTAGGATTAGGTAAAAATATTGCCTGTATTTGCTCCTAAAGACATTTTAGGGGAGGGGGATTAGATCATAGAATTTAATAAAAAACACCTTTATTGATATAATTTGCATACCATAAAATTCACTCTTTTAAAGAATACAATTCAGTTGTTTTTAGTACATTCAATTTAGGCATCCATCACCACTATCTAATTTTAGAATATTTTTATCCCCTCTAAAAGAAGCCCATTAGCAGTTACTGCCCGTAGATCATAGGATTTTACATTTTAATTAATGCATTTTCTCTCTAATGTATTAAATTGACTGATATTGTTATTTGTGACTTATACTATAAATATTGTCCTTATATAGTTCAATTTTGCTCTCTTGCAGTTCTTGACTTGCTTTTATTTTTGTTTCCTGTTGTTTTTTCTCTTTAGATATTTGCAAATTTTCCTATTACTGAACTGACAACTTGTTTGCTTTATGTTTTAGTCATTTATTTTGAAAGAGAGGTCATTTTCTGGATAGCAGGAATCTATCTTTTCTTAGAATCAATACTATGTAGTCTCTTGTGATTTTTTTAAAGTTTCGGCCATCATTGCTTTAATTTCCTGCACCATAACTGGAAGATCTCATTTACTGACATTATCACTTTGTGAGAAAGGAGGCTAATTTTTTTCCCAGGCATTGATTTAAAACAAGCCTTAATAATAGTTCAGTTTCACCATTATGATTTTTCCCAACACAAAGAGAAGCAAAACAGATACAGATAAAATAAATGGTAAATGAAAGAGGGATAGAAAAGGATAGGGAAAATTGCACTAAAATTCTTTCACAGGTGGGCATAGAGCATTTAGTGTCTCATTTGTGCATTTTCAATAAATTGTCCAGAGAGACAAAACTTCCAAATACGTGGAAAAAAGATTTAACTTCTTCCTTTGGGAATTCATCCAACTCAACATCTATACAGTGCTGTTTTGCCCATTGAGGAAGCAGGTGTTGAAAAAGAAACATTATTCAGTCATTTGTATTTACTTGATAAGCTGAAGGGAGGAGATTATGTTTCTGTCAGGAGTTTAATCAAGATATTGTCTCAAATAAAAATATAAGCAATGAATTTTTATATACTGGAAGGATTTCTGCATATAGAATTATGTATTTTGTTCCTTATTATTAAATCTGTTTTTGTTTTCTGGTTTCTGTTACTATTGTTTATTTCTTTTATTTCAAGTGGCATTTCCTACTTCCTGCTCATCACATTTGGGGGCATTTTGGTTTGTTTGCTTGTTTTTGCCAGTGTTACCTTCTTATGTGCTACCTTGATTTTTTTAAATACAAATACGTAAAGTCTACAGTCATAAATAAACTGGAATTAGCCGGAATTCAGAGACATATTGTCACTCATTTTCTGTAAATTCTTATTAAGCTTAATACAGTAAATTTGTATTTCTCGGAAGTCTATTTTACTTATTTTTGGAATTTTGTTATTATTACATTTTTACTTCTTAGTCTCAACCACTTGGATTACATCAAGACTAAAACCATTGAATACATATTACAGTAATCCAAATAACAAATTTCTCTTTCTTTTCTCTCCTCTTAATATATTTTATTATAATAACAATGAGGTTTTATTTCTGAAACCTTTAATAATAATAATAGCTACATTTCTAAAAAGTAGAGAATCGTATCAATGGTAGGAGATAAAATTAGAGACAGAATTGTTTTTGTAGGTTAAATAAATGTTATTTTGATACAGATAGAGGTAACTATCATATTCCATTTGGCTGAAGGATTATGATGTGTTTTTCTATGAAATGTTATTAGGGCTGTTGAATTGATTATTATGTAGAAAACACATACTCACACATAAAGTATACATAATTTGATTTTGAGAAGTTGCTTAGTTTGCCATCAATTTGCAATATTTATAAGAGAATCTCATTATTTTCTGATGTTATTGAATGAAATCTTTTTATCTGTATTGACATTATTCTCGAGATAATTTACTTAGAATTACATTTAGTCACAATTATCAGACACTTAAAAAATCAGATTAAAGGTCCAATACAGTCATTAAAAAAAAAAAATTCAGCTAGTGGACCACAGGTCTAAATTGCACTGACTATGGGGTGTTTTCCATTTTCTCTCTGTTTTTCTATCTACCATTAGTCTCTTATACTGTTATTCATATGAACATTCAGTGAAGCCTTCCATGGGGTTATAGCTCAAAGGGAGAGCATTTGACTTTGGTGAAGCTGTCCAATATGATACTGTCAAAAAATAAAGGCTGGCATTGACTTAATAATTCAAACACAATTGATACGGAAATTCTGTGCTAAGTACTTTGATTTTATGACCTAAAACTAATTAGTTCATGTAAACTTTAATTACCGCAATATTACCTCCAAAAATGCAAACTGTTTGAACAGTTAATTTTTATTCAAAGGGAAAAAATTGCATTTATAGTTTATAGCACTTTCCTTGAAATCTAACTTTATGACAGAAAAAGCAGTGGTTAAAGTCATGGGTAGATTGGAAAAGGACTGGAAGTAGGTTCCAAGAAGAGGAGAAGGGAGGGTGCTGGGAAGGAGTAAAGCTCAGAGAATAGCCCAGAAATTAA